GATGAAGAATTCATTTTCCTTACTACCTTTTCAAGACCATTCGGATGTTATCGTTAGCTGCGTTTACAGTTTGGTTTGAAGGTGTAAAGTGAAAGTTTTCAAAGCGATTGGTGCGATCAGTAGATGATTTAGATGGTGTAACCTGCTTGGCAGATAATGCTTTGATCTATGGCTCGACAGAAGAGCACAATGCTAATCTTCACCGTTTCTCACAGCATTGTGTACAAAGAATATCAAGCTTAAACGAGAAAAATTGAACTGCTCAAAGACAAGGTGCTTTTCTATGGAACTTTGCTAATGACACAAGGGGTCAGGGTCGATCCAGGAAAAATAAAGGCAATTCGAGACATACCGCCTCCTAATGACATGAAGGGAATCCATCGCTTAAACGGTGTGGTGAAGTACTTGAACCGTTTTATGCCATGACTCGCTGATATCATGACGCCGATCAGGAAGTTAACTCACAAAAGAGTAAAATGAAGTAGTGGAAAAATAACAGGAACCTGCATTCGAAACTATTAACTGTCTAATCAGCAACGCGCTTGCACTCGGGTATCACGATCCAGCGCATCCTTTGCAGATACATTGTGACAGTAGCCAAGAGTGAACAGCTGTGTTCTGTTGCAGAATGGAAAACCTTTATATTTCGGCAGCCGAGCACTCACCATGTCCGAGCAACGCTATGCGTAGTTAGAGAAGGATATGCTTGCGGTACTCTATGTCATGGAACGTTTCAATGCTTATAGTTGCGGAAGAAAGACAACGTTGTATATCAACCATAAACCGCTTGTGTCAATAGCCAAGAAACCGCTGCACGTCGTTCTTCTTCGCCTTCAACATATGCTTATCCGGCTTCAAATGTACGAAATGGATATTGTGTATACGCCTGGTGCACAGACGTTCATCTCGGGTACGCTTTCAATGGCTCATCTACAGATAGCCTAACATAATACGTAAGAGGTCGAAGCAGTAAACTTAGTTCAGTACCTGGATGTGACAGAAGATCGCCTAAAGGAAGTAAAGCAGCAAACAGAGGAAGATACAATGTTTTCAGCTTTGCGAGAAGTTATTCTATATAAGTGACCAGAGACAAAGAAGCAGCTGCCGAAGGAACTAACACTCTACTTCAATTTTCGGGATAAACTCTCTGTCTATGATGGTTTGCTGTTCAAGGGAAGCCGCATTCTGATTCCGTCATCGCTCCGAAGAGAAATGCTGAAATAACTTCATCGCGCTTACATTTGTGCAAACTGCACCATTAACCGAGCAAGGGAATTGATCCTTTGAGCAGGAATGAGGGGTAAATAGGAGCTCATGTATCGAATTGGGAATCGTGTCGTTCACACGAAATCTGACAAAGGATGGAACCATTGATGCTGCATGATGTCCCTGGCCGACCATGGCAGAAGGTGAAGGTGGATTTATTCAGTGATAACGGGAAAGGTTAGTTACATCCGGTGGATTACTATATTGCTTATGTCAACATCGATTTACTCACCACTACGACGTCAGTGGTAGTAATACACAACCTCAGATGTCACTTCGCGCGGCACGTATGCCAGAGGCGCTGGTTTCCGACAATTGTCCCTAGTTTACCAGCAGTGTGTTCCAGACGTTCGCAACCAAGTGGGAATTTGCGCATCAACGAAGCGGCATATATCACAGTCCATCAAGTGGAAAGACAGAGTCGGCAGTGAAGTAGGCTAAGCGACTGTTATCAAAGAATAGAGTAACTGGTGAGGACCTGTACCTCATGCTACTGGAGAATCGCAGCACACCTGTGACGAATATCGGTTTGATCCCAGTGCAGCCCTTATACAGCCGAAGGACTAGAACTCTGATCCTGGAATCTGCCACACTTTTGCGCAAAGTTTCGCCATAGCACGGACAAGTACAAAGCAAGCTGAGACGATAAATGCCCACCCAGAAACGGTACTATGATCGCGCTGCACGGATACTAGCTGAGCTAACAGTTGCGGAGGAAGTGTAGTTTCAATCATTACCCGATAGTCAAGAGCAGTGGAATCAAAGTGGGGTGACTGCGAGGGTCGGTATCAGGTCATACGAAATAAACGTTGGAGGGAAAACCGTCAGAAAGTATCGAGTGCATTTGACATGACACCAGAGACAACAATGTTGTTTGCGTGGGAAATGGCAGGTGGCGTGGGGCAAGGAGACCACGACCGAAGGCAACGCGGCGTGGCAAGATCTACGGGGTGATTAGTAATATGGAGGCACAAGAACAGGAAAAAGGGGAGCGTGTGATGGGAGTGTCAAATCAGAGTAAACAGATGGACCAACCGAGCAAGCCAGACAATCAATGAGAAGCGGACGTGACGGATCCAATTACTGGTCTCGGGTTGGCTGATATTCGTGTGAGTAATTCATCGTTTGCTTAACTGAGGTAAAGAAGAAACCTCATCGACTCAGAAGGATTGTTAGTTATGGACTTGAACCTGCAATTTATATCGATGAGTTTGGCTTGCTAAGCGTGCTGTAATTTCCGCTGAGCTGTCTTTGCTGAATAAATGCCTAGCCCTGACGGACTGGGTTCTGAAACAACTGGCATCAAGCATAGTGTCGACATACATAAACTCACGAAACGGTTTTACATGGGCTGTGTATGTACTCTTGAGTAGACAAGAATTCTAATTCGATCAATTTGAAATCACATAGGGGTTGCTAGAATCACCACATTGGTTGACTCCGGAAACTGCAAAGATTACCAGATCCGGATGATCCGTGCGTGTCCAGTAGTCATAATGCGCCCCTTGCATATAGCGCGGATCCACGTATCCTGTGGGATAATGGTCTTCCAACATCCCGGAAAACACCAGAATAGCTTTAGCTGTCCTGATGGTGTGACATGAACCATCTGGCATCTACCCACCTTTAATTTTCTGCTCTGTGCTACATCTCGACCTGCGTTTACAACAACCATATAGCTGGTTTTGCCGTTATTCTGATTACCATCCTAGTCTGCTATGTAACGCTGTACGACTTCGGCTTGAATAACCTTTTTGTCAAAACATATGTGTAACAGATACATACCTTGACCGGTTTATTACCAACCACTCCGAAGTTGTGATTTTGTGACCACACTCAAGTGCGTTCCAGGCGTTCGGAACAGCACGTCGCGTCAATAATGGGGTCGGTGAAAATCTTAACCTTGTAATGGACTACTTTTTCCAAATGAGAGTAGACTGTATGTGATTGGTCTAATAGCAAGAGCTAAAGTAAAAGCTTTCCCTCTACAGATACCCGAGAAAATGAAAAATGTAATAGAAGGCATCTAACCTACTTTGGGCCCAGCAGTTGATGTAACATCGTTCCATCACTTAGCAACACCTTAATTTGTCTCAACCTTCAGTACATGTAGATAGGCTGCTGTCGGTCTACTGAGGAAGCACCCGCAACGTGCCTACTAAATATGCTGAGTCGTTGTTATTACGCTGCTCTTTGTTACAACAAGCTGTATTTAAAATCATTTTATAATCAGTCTTGAGGATAGGAAACCATCGAATCACGAATCGATCGAGCTTTGGGAGCTTGCACGCAAGGACAGGTTGAATGCTGATCTATGTAGGGTTCAACAGCAAAAGTTAAACTCAGAAGGGAACCGGTTTGATTAGTGTCACTTGATAGCAATAAGCATCTACGAAATTGTTATTGCCTAGGATGTGTGTATTAACATAGATTGATCCTATTTATATCGTTATGTTCCAGCGCATTACGACATGTTTGCTCCGGCTGGTCTTTGGCGTTCTCATTACCGTGCATGGTGGAACTGGGTGGGTGGCGGCACAACACTAGGAATCGATCGATCAGTATTCACATCAGTCAGGCTCGTGAACACACGGCTGATGCGTTTCATGAATATTGTTCCGATATGATGCAAAGACATTACCAGTTCATGTGAACCAGTAAAGCTGCTGTTATAATTTAGGGGGAACCATAGTGATGCTCATGAAGTTTGCCTCAGGGGGCATTGTCAGGGCTTGAACATATAAGATGTCAAAAAACAGCCTTAATAAAACTGAATCCAACAGCAAATTTGAGCATTAAATTTAGCTGCTGGAGTGACTATTTGATAGTGATAGAAGACGGGCAATTTGGCTCTTTCAGTTCGAATCCAGTTTACCAGTTCTCAGCTTGTCGAAGAAAACGATCTACAGTATGAGCATTCCCCTTAACTCTCAAACATTTTACGGATACCCAAGTTCGATATATTTGATGTGGGAGACCCTCTACCAATGGCTTAAATGCAGCGGTGTGGATGAGGAAGGGGCTGGGATTCATCGCTTACTGTCCGTTTCTGAAGTACAGGCTATTTTCTTTAGCACTGTAGCTGGATTCGCAGCTTGTCCACAGAATCTAAATTCTTGGGTCACGTAGAATTTAGTCCGGAATAGTTCGAATGCACATCCGCATGATCAGCGTTATGTCCCTGTCTAGTTTTTGGGCTATCAGAATGAATAGCCAACAACCGACCGCCTAGCTGGCTGACTTTAAGTTTTGTCGATGAGTTCACCGTATACGAATTTGTTCAAACAGTTGCGCTCACCCTGTAAGGCCTTTAGACGCGTAATTACCTAAAAGATTGCATGGTTAGCGGCCGGATTTGCGATCATTTTTGCGGTAATCAGCATGGTTTCATAATAGTCTTAAGAGCTGTAAGTAAGGAACAGAAATATGATAATAATCGAAATTGTTCTAGGTATTCAATATATCGTATCGGACCATACAAGTGAATTCGCTAGCTCTTTCCCTTTTGCTGTGCTGTATCGCTTCCAATTGCAAGCACAAGCGAGTCAGCATGGCTGAGCAGTTGAGAGACCTCCTAAACGTTGTTTGCACTGTGTTCAGCCGATTGCTACTCGATGGTCGTGACCCGTGGTGTCTTGATGGGCCTCATGGCAACCAGTAAAATGACCACAAGCCCTATTTGGCAAACTTGAACTCAGCAAAAAACCACAGCAGCAGCACAAATGAGAACTCACCGGACCGGGTAGATTTAAGATGGCTAAGTTGTACCCAATCAGGAAAGGGGATCCGAAAGTGGCCATAAAGACTGTGAGTCCAAGGGTCCATGTGAATCCGTGTGCCTGCAACGATAAGTTTGAAAACTGAGTAGCGCTATTCCGGACGGTCAAATCGAAGCAGGAAAGACGAAATGAATAGTTAAGTTCGATAAAGTGAACGATGTGGAAAAACGAGCCTACAGCTGTGAAGAAAGGCACCAAAGCTGGTGTGCAGTTACCATAGTGTAGCCCCCAGTGAACTCACGAAGACAGTGAAGCGCTAAGTATTGTACAACAGCCTACCAAGCTGTGTACTGAAGCAGCCAGTAAGAGAATAGGGTCACACACCTACTTACATTCACAACGTTCACTGTTGTTCCAATTTACCTCACAACCGTGAAGTGTACATTCACGCGTGTGGCCTCATATTATCGATCACGACACCTGCATAGGAGCTTGTGAATTAGCGGTACGACTAACCATGGTCGCAGAGCCACTAAGCTCCAATACATTGGGTAGATTTTCTTCTAACCGAATGAACTGTCCACACCATTAGCAGGTCAAATTCAGAGCAAAATTTAGACAGGTGAGGAACGTATGGATAAGACCATAAGCACTGACTGACGGAACTTATCCGCTCACTCATACAGCCCAGGTACATACTGCGAGGTCAGATTCTGTAAGTGCGCATAAATTAACCCAACTCAGGTAGAACGTAGACCAGAAAGTGGTCACTGAATGCTGCCACTATAGATAGCATAAAGCAAGCTATCGACCTTTGTGTGGTAACCTTACTACAATCTGTCATTGACGCTAACAGAAGGAGAAGGCGTAGGATGATTCCGTTAGCACGGGTCGGTTATATTCAGTGTGCAATGCTGAAATTCGTAGCGGTCATGTTCAACCGTAGTGGCCGTTGCAGGTGGCTGAGGTCAGAAGGATGCTGTCTTTACATTTGGACCGGTTTTATTTGTCACAGAAAATCGGACTGCGTACAGACTCAAGACAATGATGTGTCGGCAGCGATAACAGTTTTCAACAATTCCGGCAATGAGGAAGATAACGGCGATCGGGAACCGGATCATTTTTACATATAGCTTGTGATGATGGATTATAGTCGCAACACCACCGAAAGATGCACTGTCGATGAAACTAACCGAAGAAAACTCTCAACCACGCAACTGACCAAGTTGAGACCAAACTAAGGATGTCGACCAAAAATAAACAAATATCGACCAACCGGCTACATGCCAATGGCATCACGAGTGATGGACTGTATCATCAAGAAGAGTACGTTTATCTTTTTAATACATCGAAAACTATCAACGAACCTCAGTATGGATTTCTATCAAAATATTCGTTTGGGGACTTAAATGTCCGAGCCTCTAAACTATGTAAGAGATAACATTGATCAGGGACAGGCGTTGGTGACTTTCTCACTAAGTGTTTGCAAGTTGCTTTGTTTGACATTTTATACTAGTTTCATTCTTGGTTCCCATCTCAGATTTCTAACTGAACATTATCAGTGAGATTGGGCGAAGCCTTGTCGGAGCGGCTACCTGCGACTAGTGGCTTCTTTCATGACGGAGCCTTCGAGCGTCTATGACATTTTTCATTGTGAGCAATGTTTACCTCTTCTGCAGGCTTAACAATCCACATCTATGTGCCGATAATATTAAAAATGTAATTTCGGTGGCCCCAACTGACTTGCACAGCATACGAATTGAGCTCAAGTTCCGAATAATTAGTCCAATCTATGACGGGTTGCACTTTCACATCCAAAATGCAGCATTCTGTCTTACAGATGCACCGTACCTGCCAATCAACCATGACAGATGGTGCGGTGGCTGACATCAGTGTGCATTACTCGAATTCACTGAACTTTTCTGAGCAAGTGAACTGTAGCTCAGCGAATGCTGGGTCAGTTATTGGTTGTATCTCAACAACGATGATACGCATGGAATCCCGTATCAGAGTGTACATGTTCCAAACCGATTTTAATTTAGTTCTTACTACTAGTCACGAAGTTGGAAAACAATGAGGGAATAGCAATCGATAAAGTTAGACAATCTTCACTTAACATCTACCATGCTACTCTTCTATTCTGGATTATCGAGAGCGGTGCACACGGCTAAAGCAGGATACTTTGTAGCTTCGCAGAATCAAAAACGCATCTTCTGTTTCCTCATAAAACTGCCTAATGCAGAAGTGAGCGTACATGATTTGTTTCAAGTGATGATATTCATTCTATACCCTCTGCGGAGCAGGCAAAGTTTTTCTACGCTGCCTCTGGCCACTGCCAAAACTTTTACATTAAGGAAAATTGCATCTTTGAGAGTAAAGGCACCCTAGTCTCACATTTTTTGTAGTCTCTCCGCAATGTCGAAAGCATGGTACATCCATGTAACTAAAGACTAATTGTACACCTTGGTTATTCACTCGGGCCTCACTTATCACTTGAGACGATGAGTACATATACATGTCCCAACACTAGTTTTATCAGTATATATGTGGTCCTTTCCTTCAAACTCTCCTATGTGGACATCCTCCCCACCACCCGATGAACCACGAGAAGAGGTGCATTCAGACCATGTTCAAAAGAGCGAAAAGGCACTGCAGCAAGGCCGAATCGCGGAAATCGAAGGAAAATCACCTATATGGAGTTTTTAGAAGCAACGGTTATCCAATAGATTTCATCAGAAGCAGCTAGAAGAAACGAAGACCTCAGCAACAGCAGCAGCCACGTGAGTCAGCAAACAAACGAATAGTACTCCCCTATATCAAGAACGTCTTTGAACTAACAGGACGACCGCTGGAGCACACGACTAATAGATCAAGTGCTGCCCTTAGGAAATTGATCTCTAGACGCAAACAGAAAGTCAAACAAGTCGCCCAAAGCAGTGTAATTAACCAACTAAAATGCAAAGACTGACGAAAACTACGTCGGACGAACTGGAAGGAAGCTTCGTAGACGAGTCATTGAACACAAGGCTGCCGTAATAAGATGTGATCCGTAATCATTGGTTTCCGCGCATGAACATCAAAAAGGCCACCACGTCGGTCTGGAGAATGTGAAGATCCTAGCGCATGAGAGTACAAAGTACGCGAGGGAATATTTGGGAGCGTGGTACTTAACAGTGTATTCAGTCAGTTGACTCATTGAACCGGACGCATTGTACGCAACACTATTAGCCAGGGCTCGCCAAGTAGAACAGTTGATCCGGTAGAACATGACAGTTGATAAGCAGATCTGGCGACAGATTTGATCACAGGAGTAAAGGGACCTAGGTCATGAAACACAAATCGGAGGGGCCAAATTCAAACTGATCTGCCTATTGAACAGGCAGAAAGCTGGTCGAAATCCCGACCAATAGGATTGCACGTCTAGGTGATCAACCTCGATGAGAAAAAATTACTCGCACACTACGCTCAGCGCACTCACACTAAGGCTTCCCTTCTCTAAGCTACGGTACTACTCGCTACGCAACAACGAACTGATGATGTCCCCTGGGTTGGTGATGAAACGTCTGCAACAAAATTGCACGACTCAGCAAACATTTCGACCGTTAGACATCAGTCCTTCAGGAGATAGCCATTGCTGATCATATCCCGGATACTTCGCTTTGGTTCTGCCACTAAATGCAAAACTTACACCAAGCAAATCCAGCTGAGGCTTCCTCAGAGTCTCCAAAATACGCAGATGTTATGTGGCTTCGTGTTTGGAGGGGATGTAAAAGTATTCACAGTGCTGGGGTCCTGCGATCAGGTATCGAAAGGGCAGCAGACGTCAACATCGAGCGACTACAGGGTGCGCACTAGACCGGCTTGCTGTCCAACCTGCAAGTGTCCGTAGGATGAAGCATGCCAGACAAAATGTGGTTTCGGGGTTGTAGGAGGGCCACTGGTGGAATTGCACATTTCATGGTGTAAATGGATTAGGAAGTAGGTCTATGAACACAAAATCATCTAACGGATAACAAGGATTGTTAACAGGTAAACAATTAGCGTGTAATGAAGTTGCTTGAGCGAAAGAAACAGCAACAGTAGCGGATGAGCACATCATAGAACAGTCTGTAGCCTTTCGTCAGAGGGCGCGATACCACATGGTTGCCCAAGCCGAAGTATGGTGTTTATTTAGGGGACAACATCTCTAGCCTTTGGCTGAATGGCCTACTCGGAAAACATCGGGACGAATTCGGGGAATCGGGTTCAGTGAAAGCCCGCGACTGATTGCTCATTTCATGCGCCTTTCGTTGGGTCGGTCACTAAACAGGGGTCTAATCCTCCATACAACTTCGACATAAGATGGTTGGAACACAATGATTTACCGAAGTGCAGCAAGGGGCTTTATTTGGTGTGTGTGGCGAGTCACATCTGATAGGTCACAGTGTTGTCAAACGGATATGTTCGGTATGTTATGGAGAAGACCGTGACCAAGCGAATACCCACCATGTCCTGGAACTTACCGCTCAACCATTTTCTAGAACAGAAATACGCGAAATACCTAGCCAGCAACACGAGGAAGTTGTTCGGCAATTCAACTTGTGAATACATCTCCCTTAGATAAACTAAAAGATTCCTATGTAATCAGGCTGGGTCCCCCTATGTAAGCGAAAACCCACAACAAGGACTCGCTGTTGAAAATCTGTTATATGAAAAATGAACAATATATTAGGATGGGTAACAAAGCGAGTGCTTGACTGTTCCCGTGAAATGACCGAATCGAAGGTAACAAATGACAGCAAAAAAGGTAAAATCGTGTTTTGCGTGAGTTACAATGCCATTCACATGAATTCAATTGCAGATATCCTCACCGCTGCTTTACTGAGAGGGCTGAAGAGCACACAGTTTGGTTTGTGTTCTTTCCTTTTTTGATTGAAATAGCCTAGACAATGTAATGAAATTAGGACAGCATAGTGTCAAGACCTCTTTTGTATAGTCTTGATGTAGGGGCAAACTTGATGTGTGTTGGAAGATGGTTTCCAATTTGTGGTACCCAAAAGGTGAACCATTTTTACAGCGGTCAAGTCGACTGTAGTACGTGATCATTTTGTGTTGGTGTCACTTTCGGTTAGTATTGTGGTTGACTTGCAACTGTTCGTAACAAGTGTGACAGGGTTTGGACAGTATTTGATGTACCGTGATATGGTCTCGTCATAGACGTCGATAATCTCCGCTGGCCAAGCCCAGGGCTTGCATTCTGCGTCGGTAAGGAAAGTAAAGCAATTCTCTGAAGATTTTACAATGTCTACGTTGTGGAGCTTCAAACACACC